AAAATCATCTGGCGTTAGACAGAGTAAAAAGTAGGGTGCATCAGGGTGCATTGCCACTTGAAGGGGTAATTTACAATTATTTTTTCTAACTTTGGACATGTTGTGTTTCAAGATTATGTAGATGATATTTTCGAGACATTTGTACAGTCTACTGAATATGACGGTGAACGTGCCTCCAAAGCTCTGGCAGAAATAACTCCATCGCCTATGGACACTATGCTGGAGAAACAGCCCAAAGATGAAGCCATAGCAAAAAGGGATCAGCGAAAGCAAATGGTGATTGAAGATGTCCCAGCAACTGCAACAGGTGAATTATTTTAAATTGTATTTTTTATATAATTGCAGTAAAAATTGAGTTGTAACATTTGACTAACTTTACTACAATGATACAGACAGACACTACAGAAAGAATGCAACATGGGATCATACCCAGCATAGATCTTAATTGGTAGATATTTCACACAGGACTAATCTATGTATATTGCATGTGTTTTATTCTTTTAGTTTGTGAGGCTGCAGAGCATGTGACAGTGACAACAAGACAAAAGCCTCGGTGTAAATCCTGTGGACACCCAATGAAGGGACACAAATTTGTTGTGGGATGTACAAAGAACCAAAATAGCAGTGTGGAATAGTAGAAGTGCATTATCTTGGCAATTTCACAATGTTTAGCTGATCAATTGATGAGCTGTTTATCAGCTGATGCACAATTATTGTGACTAATTATATTGTGTGTTGTGTTTTATATTCCAATATAAAAGTATATCATAACTTTGTAATTGCATAAACAATAAAACTGGCTTGCTCAACTGTGCTTGTAGGAAATACCCGAACCTTCTTTGTAACAATTATGCTACTCCAGATCATAGACAAGATTTCCACAAGGCATGATAACATTCAATTTGTAATAAATATGAACTGAAACAACTTAATCCCTTTTGATATGCAATGAACACTCTAGGAATTAACAAAGTCAAATTTCAGTGGGTCTCTATTGTCCATCATCATAACCTGTACATGTAGAATCTTTGTCTTCCAAAAATGTTTTTCTAATTGCATGATATGCACATGCAGGTAATGGATATCTCTGTTGTCCCAGGTAGCCGTAAACCAGGTATGTAAATTCCCTGTATGAAACTGCACGAACATGTCTATAATGGAAAGTCAAAGGCACTTCATGAATACTATTTAAAGTAAAGAAATGCATGGAAACAACATAATTATTGGAGTGTGCACAATGGGTCACCAAAGTCACAAGGAAGCTCTTGAGGGTGATGGGGCAAAAGATTAATTTACCAGTTAAGTTTTCAAGGATACAAAACAGCGTTCGCTAGAGTGCAGATAGAGTGCCGTTCTAACAAATGAACAAAGATCAGTGACACAAGTGTCTGATGTAATATTTTGGGGGGCGAGACGCAACCCTTGCTTCATCCACCACTGCTTTGTTTATCAAATAATGAATTGCCAACCATAACTCCAACATAATGTTAATTTTTTTTGGACAATTGATTTAAATCCCAATATAAATAATTACGGTAAATAAAACCCAAGTATTCACTACCGTGAAATGCCCAAGAATATTCTCTATCTTACCTGTTCTCTGAATCTGACTTATGGTACTTAGTCCCGATACTTTCGTCCTGCTTGGCGAAGTGACCAGGTTTCTAAACAAACGGGGTTAAACCCAGGATGAAATGTTACACAACTTGGTGGACTATCGACTTCGCTGAGGACTTGATCGCTGTTTATGGCTTCAACACAGCCATCTATCACCATACAGCACTGTGCTTCTTTACTATTTTGCAACAATTCGGTGCTACAATTACCACATTTACACCTAACAAAAATCGTAAATGGAATTTGTATAAATAGACTGTAGTGATATAGTATTCGGTCTTGAGAAATGTTCTTTGTTTTACATTTTTCGTGTCACCTACCATATATGCACAGAATCAGGTTGCTCCAAACGACCTTCCATTTCTTTGCGCCGCTCGTCTTGCTTTCGTTTTTGCTCTTTGTAGTTGGCAAGCCAAACATCATCTGCTATAGGCTCGCCTTCGTAATGCAGAGAGCCATCTTTCGGCTCCTCTGCATTACCAGCTGTTGCACTGGCAACGTCGTCGTTATGTTGATCCTTGAAGACGTATCCCGATATAAAATCAGTGTCCGAGTCGTTTTGGCTGTTATCGGTATCGACAGAAGTCTCGCTATCAGACGGGGAAGTAGACATGTTTATAAAATTTGTATCTTTTATCCATAATCTATTACTGTTTTCAGACCTCGCCACTTCGCTTCTCCCTGGGTGTACGTCACTTCCGGTAATTAGTTTCCAGGTTTCATTCTCCCGGCCATTTTGTGAAAACGCTCAAATTAGCCAACTTTAACAGCAAAAATGATAAGGAAGATTGAATTTTTGCTGATGACAATATTAAACAAATCGTCTTAAAATGTTCGAAATATGGTAAATATGTAAAAACCTCAATCATGAGATAGGCACTTTAAAAATACTCCTGCCTGCCGTTGCTATGGCAACAATGACGTCAAAGCAATGCGGATATTTTATGTTTAAAGTAATTTAACTGGAAAAAGTAATTTAATTAACTGGAATTCGGTGACTCCCTTTTTTATTTCATGATGATTTCTTTTAGTACTTCCAATTATTTTCAGGATTTAAAAAAATCTATAATGGCAAAAAAAATTATTACGAATTTTCACATTTTCCCATCATGAAAATAATTCAAAATACCAATAGAAATCATTTTTGAAATAAAAAATGTGAGTCACCGAAGTTTTTTCCAGTTAAATCACTTTAAACATGAAATATCCGCCATGTTGTGGCGTCATTGTTGCCATATCAACGGCTGATAGGACTAGTAGCAAAAAGTTCCAAACTCCTCAGTTATTGTAT